GTCTGGAACGCAGGCCATCTGGGTGACGAGGTCGCCTTCGGAGCCTCGCTCGCCGCCAGCACTCCTTGCGCGGTGGCTTGCGCGTGCCGTCGGCGCAGCACGCTACATCGGAGACGAGGGCGCTCACGGGCGGCCGTACGCGAGCAGCTTACGCGCCAATGTCGGCGCAAGCAGACCAGTTGTCCTGCGTCGCTTACGTGAACCCTACCCCTGCAAATCAGATCTTTGAAACACCGGCCAGGGCTCAGAAGAGGGGCAACGTTCGCAGGTGGTCGCAGGCCCACCTCCCCTTCATTCCTGCTCCTGCTGCTGCTGCGGTTGGTTTTAGTCCTCCTCCTCCTCCCCATCCTCATCATCATCATGAGCAGCATCATCATCATGAACAGCAGCAGCATCATCATCATCATCATCAGCAGCAGCAGCAGCAGCAACATCATCAGCAACAACATCCTTCGCCTTTCCGTAATCATTATCCTTATCCTTCTTCTTGTTAGTTTTCGAATTGTCAGTACTAGTAGTAGCATTAATACTCATATTCGTATTACACTGAATATCGTCAGTAGTAGTAGTAGTGGTAGTAGTAGTAGTGGTAGTAGTAGTAGTAGTAGTAGTAGTAGTAGTAGTAGTAGTAGTAATAGTAGTAGTAGTAGTAGTAGTAGTAGTAGTAGTAGTAGTAGTAGTAGTAGTAGTAGTAGTATTGATAATACAAGTATGTATACTGATGTTATCCATATCATTAATAGTTGTATATGTCGTGTTCGTATTATCCTTAGCATTACTGACTCCATTAGTAGCTTTATTGCTATTACTCCTCCTGCTCATCCTCCTTGCTGCGGAAGAATCGCGAAGGAAACTTTTGGGCCGTTTTCGGCCTGCGGGGGCCCCTTGCCAGGCCCAAGGGTCGTCAGAAAAAGGCACGGGATTAACGGCCTGGTGTTGGGGAAGAGGTTCCGACCTCGCGGGAGGCGCCCCCTGACCCCTGATCCGCCATACTTTGGCCGATCTCGCGGCTAGGGCGGAAATTCCCGCCCCATTTGTCAAGCTCTCCTGACGTCGATATCCGCCCTACTTTGCCGTCGCTATTTCCGCCATGGGCGATACCTTTGCGGAAGATCCGCCTGGCTTTTCTGAGGCAGAAATGTCCGCCCTACTTATTCGCATCGTTCGAGGTGAGTTTCCATCAGCATTTTGAATCTCCTCTGTGGTGGTGGCGGGAGAGAGGCTTATGCCCCACGGCTGGGGAATTCTGCATCGCACAACAACCAAAATTCGACGGATTCGCCGTCGCCCCTCGCTGCGGAAAGCTCACGACGGAACTGTCCCTGGCCGTGTTCGGCCTTCGGGAGCCCTTCTCGCCGGGCCCCGGGCCGTCAGAAAACGGCACGGGACGAGAAGCCCAGCCCTGGGAAGAGGTCCAGACCTCTGGGGGCCCACGCTGCGAAACAGATCACGACGTCGGGGAGCTGTGAGGGGTGTCCCGGTCCACGGAGCACGAAGCCACGGCGGCGCCGCTCGGCCATCGTGGGCCCAGCGAAGCAGGTCGCGAAAGCGAGCAGGCCCAGGAGACGGAAGAGGGCGGGGAGAGAAACTAAACCGAGAGCGGGGAGGAGGAGGAGGAGGAGGAGGAGGAGGAGGAGGAGGAGGAGGAGGAGGAGGAGGAGAGGAGGGAGGAGGAGGGAGGAGGAGGAGGAGGAGGAGAGGAGGAGGGAGGAGGAGGAGGAAGAGGAGGGAGGAGGAGAAGGAGAGGAGGAGGAGGAGGGGAGGAGGAGGAAGAGCAGGAGGAGGAGGAGGGAGGAGGAGGAGGAGGAGGAGGAGGAGGAGGAGGAGGAGGAGGAGAGGGAGGAGGAGGGGGAGGAGGACCGGGAGACCCTGTCGTTGCAACGCTCTCACTCTGGGCGACGGCGGTTCGGGCTGGGCCCCGGGCCCTCGCAGATCGATGCGGCTCGAGAAACGACACAGGATGCGGGCCCCAGGAAGATACACCACCGCCACGTCGGTTCCTCCTCCCCCATCTGCCCTCCTCCTGCTCTCCTCCTTCCTGGCAGAGGGAGGGGGTGAGGGAAGTGGTGGTGGTGTACATGTTAGGGCCCCGTGCAGGAGGACGGGGGCTCGGGCTCCAGTCGTGGTTCCCGACGACGCCGCCGGATCGTAGCTAGGGTGGGCCGACCACGGAATACGACCCCCGCGCGCGAACGCGGGAGCACAACCCCTTGCGCGGGAGACTCGTAACCCTTCTTGCGCTCCAGGTGGCAAGACGAAAAATGCGCGGAACCACCCTGGACCCAGCAAGGCATGGCATACAAGCAAGCAAGAACGCCCATCACCGACCCGCAAGCGCCCTTCTTGAACTGGCCCCGCCGCTAACATACGCCGATCGCAACCAGCGCCATTTGCGCAACGGACGCTTTTATTTACTCTCGGCGAAGACGTCCAGAGGACACCATTCGTTTCGCTTTTCCCACAAAGCTCTGAATGAATATTTCCAGCAACTGCCCATCACAAACGCATCGCACACCAGTGCAGGACTGGGCCATGCAGCTGACTTCGAAGAGGAATGCCACAAACAAGTCTGGCCATCTTCGGCCGGGAAACCCAAACTGACAACCCTCGGTGTAACAACTACCCAGATCAACCAATGTTTGCTGGCGACGTGCTTCGGGGTCTGGGCCCTCTTCAGGGCCGAGAACGGCTGCAATAATCCCGCGCGCGCGCCGTGAATCGACCAGGCAAGGCAGCAAAAAGTATAAAGAGTACAGGAGTTTCTTCAACCCAGCAAGGGTGTTGTTCAACCTCGCAAATGCGTGCAATGCGGCACCGCACTTTTTAGGGCGCGCGGCCACGCGCGCGGCGGCGCGGCGGAAGTCAGACGGGAGCCCACGGGTAGGGCCAGCTCACGCAGCGTGGAGAAGCTGGGCCCGCCCACAAGGGATCGACAGCAACCCTCGCGAGGGGGGCATTCGCATGCAGGAAACACCTTCTGATGGGCGGCATGCTGGGTCCAGGAGACCGTCGAACCAGCGGCGGGGCGCGTCCGAAGCGAATTGGGCACAGGTGCGGGAGAAGGCAGGAAGAAAACTCACACGAAATGGCCACAGCGACCTCAGAACATGAAGAACTTCGGGAAATACCATATGCTGACTCACGTGCACATTTTGGTCGTCGTCGTCGTCGTCGTCGTCGTCGTCGTCGTCGTCGTCCGTCGTCGTCGTCGTCGTCGTCGTCGTCGTCGTCGTCGGTCGTCGTCGTCGTCGTCGTTCGTCGTCGTCGTCGTCGTCGTCGTCGTCGTCGTCGTCGGTCGTCGTCGTCGTCGTCGTCGTCGTTCGTCGTCGTTGTCGTCGTCGTCGTCGTCATCGTCGTCGTTCGTCGTCGTCGTCGTCGTCGTCGTCGTTCGTTGACGTCGTCGCCTCCTCGCTCCGCCGAAGCGCGGCTTCCACATGCGGCGCCCGCCTGGCAGGCCTTCGGCCGCCCCGTGGTCCCTCCTCTCCCCCCGCCCTTGTGTTGTTGTGCCTCTTTGTTTGGCTGCCGCCTTCCCCTCTTCGTGCCTTGCCTTCTCCCCTCGGTTTCCCCTCGGTTTCCCCCTCGGCTTGTGCGTGGTGTGTCTTTTCTCCCTTCGGTTTACCCGCCCCCGTCGGTCGGCCCGCGTCCCCCGCGTCCGTCCGTCTCTCCCCCCCGGCTGTCCGCCGTCGTTCCTCGCTTTTTGCCCATCCCTATCTTTGCTCGGTCCCCCTTTTCTTTGTTTTGCTGGCCCCTTGACGTACACATGTCGCCGCGCCGTTGTGTTCTCGACGCGCCGAGGTGGACGACGACACCGCGACAAACCCACGGCAACCCTTGCGTGCTGCATCTCACGTAGACGCAGACGGCACCGCGGCAAATCCACGGCGAACCCACCGCGCCCGAGTCGGCGTCTGTCTTGGTGGCCGAGGCGCCCCCCCCAAGACGCAAAGCCGCGGGCCGGAACAAACGGCGCAGCGACACACGCGGCAAGCACGAGCGGTGGGCTGCACCGGGAGCGAGCACAGGCACCAGGCGGAAGAGCAAGAGGCGAAAGGACGAAAACGAAGACGGTGCCCGATCAGACCACGTCGGTCGGCGCGGGGGTGCTGGGGATGTACACGCAGCTGCGCGCGAGAAGCGACAGGCTCACGTACACGTGCATTAATAAGCGCACGGGATGGGAGAGGGACAGCGGCGGCAGCGGCAGTGACGGCAGGGAGGGGGGGCGTCCTGCGCCCAGGCCCGGAGCTCGCAGATCTGGGGGGGCGCGCCGTGGTGCTGCGCCTGGTGTTGGCGCGGCGCTAGCAGCTGCAGGGCCTCCTGGGGCTGGCGGGGGAAAATGGAAGGGAGGACGAGGACGAGGACGAGGAGGAGGAGGAGGAGGAGGAGGAGGAGGAGAGGAGGAGGAGGAGGAGGAGGAGGAGGAGGAGGAGGAGGAGGAGGAGAGGATGAGGAGGAGAAGGAGGAGCACAAGGGATACGACACATGCAATGCGGATGGTGGGGAAAAAACCGCTTCTCGGCTGTACTGTAGCGGGGGTATTGATAGCGATGCATTAGAGCGGGCGCGGGAGGCATGCCTTGAGCCAAATGCCCACGGCGACCCCCGCGCACCCGCATTCCCTGCCATGCTACAACCTGCCCTGGCATACCTAAGGAAGATATGACCTACCGTTCGAGCCCGGTGCTCAAACAAGTCCGCCGTGCCTCGCGGGTAGCCGGGCGCAAACCGTCCAAACCACCACAGAAACCCGACAGACTAGCCGCACCAAACAGTGACCGGGCGGGGGGCTCTGCTGACCACCCCCTCATACGCAGTTGCGCTGCAGGGGGGGCCTTCTGCTGACCAGGTCCCTCATAAAAAGTTGACGCCACGACCGAACAGAAAGGCTGGCAGCAGACTTCCGGTGGAACGCAGAACAGATTACCGAGTACTCCACGCCCAACGGCCTGCTGCCACACTAACGTAGATCATGGCGGCAGCCCGCCACTTGAGTGGCCCAC